ATTGGGGTGCAGGAGGGATGCGGGCGCTGGGAGGGAGTTTGGGTGCAACAGCGAACTCCAGGAGGGGAGGGGCCCTGGCGTGACACTCACCCAAGCCCCCCAGGCTGCTGCTCAGGAGGTCCAGCCAGGATAACCCCCCTCCTCCCCCCAGAGTCGACTCGCAGTCGCCTGCCGGGGGGGTGGGGGTGGGGGGGCTGCCATGTAGCGGCAGTGGCCAGAGAGGGAGCACAGCGCGGAGCTACAGGGGGCAGCCACCTGCTGCCCAGGGCAGGCAAATGAACCTTAGCATCCCGCACCTCCCTTGCCAAACCCGGCTCTGCTTTGTAGGACGGCCGGGCAGCTCCTACCCCGGCCCAGGGAGACGAAGGCAGGCGCGTGGCTGCTCTTGGAGCGCTTGTTCCAGGCTGCCTGCCGACTCCCAGTGCGGGAGGGAAATGCACAGTGCTGCATCCGGTCACAGTGGGGAAGGTTCCTCCAACGGGCCAGAAGTACTAAGGGCTGGAAGAAAGTGCTGGGTCTGACCCTGCAGTCCAAGCCCAGGCAGCGCCCAAGCAGACACGTACTCACATGCACAGGCCTCCGGCCGCTTTATTCGCTTGGCTTTGGCTCCAAACTTTCACTTGTTCTCTGTGAGCAAAGAGAGGAAGACCCGTCAGGCTCACCTCACGTCTGTGCAGTGAAAAGCACCATCTGGCCAAGAGCCAGCGGCTCACAGGAGCCTGGTGCTTCCATGCAAACAGGCAGGGCCCTTGTGCGGAGCCCGGGAGCTTGGTCCCTAAACTTTAAGCTCACTGGCACCTGTTGATGGCCAAAATGCAGCTGTCTCGCGCCCCTTCCTCCTGCTCTGCGGGAGTGAGTCCCGTTTGATACATCTGCCTGGTGCCTCCCTCGCTGGGCAGGAGGCCAGGCAGATGCAGCACACCCAGGCCCTAGAGGAGGGAAGAGGAAAATCGGAACCCCCACCCCAGGATGGCATCTGGAGGGCCCTGCGGTAAGCCCCGGCTCAGCGGGAGAGAGGCCACGATGCAGGGCTTGTGAGCATGGGGGTGCTTTCAAAGGGGAGTCATGGGAAATACAGGGGGACCCCAACCCAGAGAAAAATCCAGCTGTCGGAAGGCGTCAGCCCTGCCTAAAGCACCACGAATAAGGGGGAGGAAGGACAGATCTGTACCAGCAGCAAGCTGGACTGCTAGGGACTCCCACGCAGAGCAAGCGCCAGGGAGCATGACCCCGGCAGGCTCTCGCCTGACAGTGACCGGACGGTGGAACCACGGAGCTACAAAGCCCAGTCCAACCCCAGAGAGGAGCAACGGCAACCAGGGGAGAGCCTGAGCCGGAGCGAGACGTCCCATGCTGATGTCCACAATGCGGAGTGACACATTTCCTCCAGAGACCAGGTCTGACCGACTACTCCCCGTCAGCCTTGGAGGAGGAAAACCTGCACACCCCCGCGACGACGGATAGAGGTGACCTTACCCAACTGAGCAGCCTTCACTGCAGCAGCCACAGACCCTGCTGCCAAAAGGACCCAGGAGGAAACCCAGCCATGCTGAGATGTCAGAATCATAGAAGTGTAGGACTGGAAGGGACCTCGAGAGGTC